TGCGCTTATTATTCGCTCACCGCTTACCTGCTCGACGTTGCGCAAATCGGGAAAATCGAAAAAATCGGAAAAATCGGGAGTGGGAACGGATAGGGATCTCTGCAGGTTGCCCATTATCCTGCCGGCGAGACAATGGCTAGACAACAATTGATGATCTCTTGCGCATTTTCCGCAAGACAATAATGCGATCGTTTGTTTGCCGCCTTTGTCTGATTGTCTGCTTTTCTTTTCTATTTTTTTTTTGGTTTTTTGCCATATACCTTCTGGTTTATTTTTTACGGGGCCTCGCCCCTTTGACATTTCCCTGTTGTTGTTGTTGTTGTTGTTGTTGTTGTTTGATTGCCATTATCGTTGGGGACTGCCGATCCCGAGGCACTCTACCTGTTGGTAACTGGAGATTCACACACGACACATGGCCGAGTTTTGGGATGCGAACTCCTTGACGAATGGCCAACACATGACGCCAGGATCCAGGAGCATATGGCGTCCACTTGAGTACGAAATTCGACCACAGTTCGACCGACTTGGAATTGAATTGAATTGAAGTCATGCCAAGGACAAGGGCATATGGCCGCCTGCCTTTCACCCCCGCTCACACGCTTCTTTTTGTACACAAAATGAATGAAAATTATTGCAAGTTTTTCAGCTACGTTTTCCCTTATTTTCCGAGCCTTCCCATTTCCATTTCCCGTTTCCCGATTCCAGGCGGCGGTAACAAAAAAAAAAAAAAAAAAGCCTGTTATTATACATATAGATTTGAATATGTATGCGTAAAAGTAAAACGCGCGAAAAGCAGCCGGAAAAATACGCGCACACATCTTTCGAGGGATGTTTGCATATTTTTTTCCCCCCATTTTGCATATACACGTTTTGCTCGTCACCACCCACCCACCATCTCACCACCTCCCGACTTTCACTTTCACTTTCACTTTTTTATGGCGCATAAAACTTCGGGGGGTGGGGAGGGGTTTGGTGAAGGGCATAAATTTTACAGGCAAGATTTTTTTTTTTGCCAAAAAAGAGAAAAGTTTTGCGTGGAGGAGTAACCATCCCCAATTTTAGCACACCTGACTTCCTGGCTTCCATTTGCCCACTTGCCCACTTGCCCACTTTCCCACTTTCCCATTTCCTGTTGATTTTAGCAACCCATGCGAAATTTGGACTTTACCCAATGACATTTGCCAAATCTCGTCACTTGGCCTGGGCAGAAAACTCGTACTAATTGGCGTTTTCCTGTATCTTTTCAATTTCTTTTTTGGAACTCAGGCAACCAGGTGATCCGTAGGCCTTAAACTGGCGCTCAAGGTCAGGAAGCACCTATCCTTCTACTCGCCCACGCTGCTGAGCGCCGCCTTCACCAGCCTGAACGGTGTGTACAACCACAGCAGCAACAGCAGCAGCGATCCCGCTCCGGACGAGGAGCCCGACCAGCCAGCCAGCCATCACCAGCACCACCATCATTCCGGATTGAGTCACCACCACAGCAGCGGGGATCCCAAGAGGCACAGGGATCGCGAGGAGCACGAGCTCGACCAGGAGATGGGCGGCCCAACGGCGCCGGTGGCCAGCGGCGGCGGCGTCGGCGGCGGCGAGGTGGGTCAAACGTACTGCCTCCGCTGGAACAACCATCAGACCAATCTGGTCCAGATTCTGCACGCCCTGCACGAGGTGGGCAGCTATGTGGACTGCAGCCTCGTCGTGGACGACGAGCAGTTCCAGGCCCATCGTGTCGTCCTGGCGGCCAACTCGCCCTATTTCCAGTACATCCTCAAGGATGTGCCGCAGGACCATTGCAGCATCATCCTGCCGGGCGTCAAGGGATTCGAGATCGCCGCCCTGCTGCAGTACATGTACACGGGCGAGACGACGGTGACCAAGAGCCAGGAGCCGGAGATCCTGCGCACCGCCAAGGAGCTGCAGGTCAAGGGTCTCTACGACAACCTCATGAAGTTCAATCACCACACCAGCGCCACGCCCACCTCCAGTTCGGGAGCGGGAGCGGGTGCGGTAGTGGGAGTGGAAGCGGGATCTGGCGTAACTAAGCCCCACAATGGCTCCTCCGCGCACCATTCCTCGTCCGTGATCTCCACATCCACCCACATCTCGCCCAGCGCCGCCATCTCGAGCAGCTGCTCGCCTCCACCGCCGCCACAGTTCGGCTTCCAGTCCGGCTACGGTCACTATCCGCCGCAGCTGCCGGCCAGCCAAGTGGCGGCGGGCGAAGGACCGCTGACCCCCAACCAAGCCACGCCCCATTCGGCGGCGCCCGCCTCGGGGGCGGGAGAGTCCGCCGGGCAGTGGCCACTGACGCCCTCCGCCGCCGCCGCCATGCTGAACTCCGTCTACGAGTCCGCCGCCGACATGAATCCGCTCAAGCGCAAGAAACTGTCGGCCATCTCGAGCATGCTGCTCAGCGGCAGTCGCGACACACCGATCCTGCGTAACGTGCTGGCCCAGGCCAATCCGGCCGACTCCTCGCAACCCGGACCCATGCCCAGCAATGGAGAGAAGACGCCCACGCATCCGCATCAGGGCAGCGGCCAACTGACGGCCGGATTGGGTGTGAGTGGCGGTGAGCGGAATCATAGCTTCAACGGATCGGACTACGGCGGCGACAAGGAGCCGCTGTCGCCGTACACGGACCGCTCCTTCGAGGAGGAGAGCGGCCAGTCCGGCGGCAAGAAGCCGGAGTGGAAGCGCTACAAGCAGTACACCCGGGCGGACATGATGTGCGCCATCCAAGCGGTGCGCGAAGGCATGAGTGCCCTGCAGGCCAGTCGCAAGTACGGACTGCCCAGCCGTACGCTCTACGACAAGGTGCGCAAGCTGAACATCACCACCGGCCGTGGCACCCATCGCACGCCCAAGCGCAGTCCACCGGGCGCCGAGTCCGCCCAGGGATTCACTTACTCCGCGGCGGCCGCAGCTGCCGCCCATAACTACGGGCATGGACATGGTCATGGTCATGGTCATGGTCATGGCCATGGCGGCCATCACTCGGAGACGAAGCGTGACCCGAAGGCGGATCATGTGCCCGCCCACCACGGCATGCCGCCCACCATACCGCCGTCGGCGGCCGCCCTTTTGGACCACGCCTTCCTGCAGCAGGCGCTGGAGAATCGCGGCGGTGACATGGCCGGCCGTGAGGCGCTCCACGCCATGGCTTTGGCCGCCGCTGCCCATGCCGCCGCCAATCGGCTGTCCAGCAGTCCGGCGGAGCCGGACCAGCGCTCAAATGGCCATGGCATGCGGTCGCCCAGTCCGCCGGCACGGCACTATCCGCACGAACAGGAGGCCTTGGATCTGGAGATGCACGAGAAGCACGAGCCGAGCCTGATCAAGCGGGAACGCGACCAGGATGAGCGCGAGGATGCGGATGACGAGGAGGACCACGAGCAGGAGCAGGAGCACGTGGAGGATCTCTCGCTGGCCCGAAAGGAGCGTCCGCCATCGCCCTATTCACCCCATTCGCCCCATCCGGCCGAGGGAGCCGGCGTGATCATGCACGCGGGCAGTGCGTCCGCCGCCAATGGAGGCAAGGAGCTGGAGGATTACCCCGCCTCGCCGCCATTCGTGGCCATGGGTTTGAAGCGGGAGCTGCTGGAGGGCGAGGAGGCCCAGGCTCGGGCCGACTGATTGACGCTCACCATGGCCTGGCAGTATCCAGCGGACAGCCTCGACTCCGTGGATTAGGCCAGGCTCTTTCCTTTGTCCTTGTGCCCCCCAACCCAATCCTTGTGTTACTTTCCTTAAACCCATCGGCCACTCGAATCGGGAGCCGAGCAGCGTTGGTGAAGCTTTAAACGAACGAAACCTCATCCCAGTCGTTGTGGGAGTCATCCGCACCAGCACCTGGCCACCCATCAACCAATCATCAAAAATCAAATCAAATCAAATCAAAGCCACACTCTAAAATTAAATGTTGTCAGCATCACTTTGTGCCTAAAAAAAAAAAACTAGAAATGTTAGGTTATGTTAGGTTTTAGGTTAGGTTAGGTTATACTGCAGATATCTTAGGCCATCTTTGGAAACCAGCTAGTTGTAGGCCCTTAAGGAGTCCATCCAGGTCGCAGATCCTGGCCAACTTACATGAGACTGAAGGCACGGGATCGGCATCCGGATGGGCAACCTGGGAACAGAGCAGAAGAGGCTCCACATCGGAAGCGGAAGCTACCATCTTGTACAACTTTGTTAAATGCCAGTGATTTGTTTTAAAAATTATTAGCACTAGATTATTTATAACGACCAGTATGTGGATGTACGCATGTACGCATGTACATACGTGGCCTTATGTATGTTCATCATTTTCGAGGCGAGGAGGTGGGAACAGATCAAGTACTTGAACACAAGAACACAACTACCTCACATAGCGCATCTATGTTAGCCCCATGTTATCCTGTTAGCGATATATATATGTATGTATGTATGTATATGTATTTAGTAATCGTCCTGGGTTGAATTTATAAGACTGATAACGACTCAAACGTACCACGAGCAAGAGCACACGCATTAAAAACTATATTACAAATTACAAAACAAACTATATGTATATGTATGATGTATGTAAACTTAAATACGAATCGAGATCCTTAGTTAATTAGCTGTAAGTTTCAGATTTCAAATTGATTAGTTCTAAGCCACCAACTTAAGCATTACAACTACACTATTTATAAGGCAAACAAAACAAAACGAAAAACAAAACAAAACAAAACGAATGAAAACATGCGCTGGGGGCAATGCAATAGGCTCTTAACTATAAACACCTACACTTATACAACTATATAGTCGTACGGTCGATAATTTTAAATTGTTATACGATTAACTTTGTACATAGCATCATAGTCCACACACACACACACACATCCGAATTCCGGATCTAGCTTAAGTAATCCCAATTGTAATGCAATTTAAATTAACCGTAGGCACCCGACTTTCATCATGTAAAGATCTGCGAAAGAACGCGAAATAAACTGACTGAAAAATATAAATCAAATAACAAATTTGGTTTTTACTCTCGACAACGGTACACTGTTTATTATAGAAAAATATAAATTTGAACTTTACTAAAGTTCTAGTTAAAATGATTTAATTGTTAGTATTGCTGACAAAGAACAACGAAGACATGACTCTCTTGAGTTCAATGACAACCCACGCAGTTCGGATTGCGCTCGTCGAACTCGCAGATTCCGATGGCAAAGCGAAAGGGTTTGTGATCCGGCAAGTGCATGGGCTGCAGCGACGGCACCACGATCCTCGGAATATACAGCTCCCGCTCTTCGTAGGTCTTGGATGGGCGGGAATAGTCCGCTTGCCGCGTCGCATGGCCGTTGACGATCGAGAGCGAGCGGTCGATGCTGATCAGGGGCTCATCGTTGGGACTGTGGCCACGCAGCTTGCAGTGGGCCAGCAGCTTGGCCTCGCTGAGAAACTCCAGGCGGCAGAAATTGCAGTGGTAGTTGATCCCCTTCTTGTGGAGCTGAAAGTGCCGGTCCAACTGGTGCTGCAACTCGAACTCATCGCGACACTTGTGGCAGATGTAGAGGCCACGGTTCTGCAGATGCAAATGGTAGTCCAGGAAGACTCTGCAGGGTAAACAAACATCGTTAGTATCTAGTAAATTGGTCTAGGATTCAATCACTTACTTGCTGGTAAAGACATCGCCGCATTTGTGGCAGTAGAACCAACTCATCTTCCAGTGCTCCATGTAGTCGTGCTTCATGAGCGCCACCAGGGTGTCCGTTTGGAAGCCACAGGCTGGCGTGAAGCACGAGAAAGCATTCAGCCGCACCTGCGTCTTGAGCAGATCGAGTAGGTACAGGTCTGTGGATGGACAGTTTGAACGTTAGTTAACTCCGAAGTGAGACCTATTCGAATGATTCCCCACCGTACTCCTTGTCGGTGGTCATGTGCGTTTCCACCAGCCCGTAGTCGTCGTACAGCAGGGAGAGATTTCCGGCACTGTTGCTGTTGCTCCGGCTGTGGTTCACAATCCAGTCGCCAGTGAAGTTCATGCGACGTGTGTACATGGCGTCTTCCCGGTCATCATCGCCTTCATCTTCTCGCTCCTCCACATCGCTGTCGCTCCCCTCGTCCTCATCATCCATGTTGTACTTGTCCCAGGCCTCTGAGCAAGCTCTCGAGCGAGAGCGCATGGAGCGAGCCCTTGGCGTCAGCGAAGACTGCACTGCCTGACCCCCCGGTTCCTCCAAAGCCTGTCAAGGATTAGAGGTTAAATATATATTCCGGAAAACTAGTTGTGCCAGAAGTGGCACAAGTGAACTAACCTCCTGCTTGGCCTGGCAGATGGTGTGGTGCAGCTCCCACTCGTACTTGGTGTCCAACTGGGCGTCGCACAGGTCGCAGGGAAACCGCTGCTTGTGCTTCAGACGCTCGTGCTGCCGCTTGCTGGCCATCGATTCGAACTCCTCGTCGCAGTGACGACAGTAGAAGATGCGCGAGGAGCGGCTGACTTTGGCAGACGCCTCTCTGTCACAGCCGGCCTCGTTCAGCACCCGACACTTGGCGCGCGGTGGGCGGGGCTGAGTCCGACGCATCCTCGAGCAGCGGCGCAAGTGCTGAGCGTAATAGTCGCGCCGGAAATAGGCACGTCCACATACCTGGCACTCCAGTCGGGTGCGCCATCGCCAACCCTCCGCTTGCTTCTCTTGCGACTCCTTGGCCGACGGCGAGTAGGGTTGCTGGGCGAGGTAGACTTCCAATACGGAGCAGGAGGAACGTGAGCTGCGGATGCTACCCTGCCGCCTCTTGTCGAGCCCCTCTTCGTGGCCCTCAATCAGAGTGGTGGACACCTCCGCATCAGCGATGGGCGGACTGTGCTGGCTGGGCGAGGTCGTAGTGGTGGTCACCGTGGTGACTCCTCCTCCGGAGCGCTGCAGTCGCTGCATGCGTTGCATCAGGGAGCGGGTGACCTCCGAGTGCATTTTCAACTTGCAAACGCACTCCACGCAAATGGCCTTCAAGGTGGAGCGGATTACATCGGCCTGGAGATTGAGTAAGTGCTGTAATTGGCTTTGATGGCAGAATACTATAATGTACTTACATGAATCTTCCAGTCGCGACTGAGGCGACGATGCATGTCATGGTTGGAGCGCAGATCCAAGAGGGCTGAGGCCTTTGCGGCGCCACAAATTGTGCAATTGGCACCGTTGGCCTCCGCCTCTCGCTCAGATTCGACCAGATTCAGATCCTGATCCCTACGATTGCCATTTTCCACAGAGCAGTTTCCTTCAGTGCTGCTGGGTTCCGGTGGATCCGGTGCCGGGGCATCTTGCATCTTGTCGGGAAATGGGTGCTCCTCGTGGGCAACTATCACGCAGGTGGGGATTTCACCGGTTTTCCCGAGCTCAACTAGTTCTGCTGGGTTCTCGTGTCATTCCCAGTCATAAATAGGATTTGGAAGTCAAATAATAGCTCTCAAATTATTTGAACAACGAAGTTCTGGAAGTTTTTTTGTAAATATTTTTAAAGAAGTGACCACCACAGTGTGACCGTTGTGGAAGTTAAGAAAATATATCGCAGAACATTTGAGTGTCTGGCAGCACTCAACGTTCTCTTTTATGGCACATTTTTCCGGTGCTGTGGCAACCTTGCGGAAACCGTTGAATTGCTTAATTCATTTCCGGTGCCTTTTCAAACATCCCCGAAAATGTAGGTTTTACTCAGCGACCAAGTGGTAAAAGGGGGTTGGAAAAAATGCATTGCTACAAGCTTTAATGTTTCTGGAATATTTTTCGCATTTGAACTTTATTACAGCTTAGGACACGTTTAATTAGTTGTATGTTGAATTCTAAAAATACCCGAAGTCTATTTTGCCGCTACTAGTAATGCAGATTAGAAGCCCCTTTTATAAAACCACAGCCATTTTTACTTATCTGTATAATATTTCATAACTTCTGAGTAAAAGACCCTTAAAAAGAAATTCCCTCACCCACAGATTTCGCGTTCCTAATTTTGTAGCCAATTAAAAATATATTTAAGAGGTGGTTTAAAAAAAAAATTGTGTAAATTGAGATATTTTAAAATTTTTTCGTAAACATTTCATAAACTACTACTCGCCGAAAACGAACCTTTCCCCCTTGTTATTGTTATTGTACACCAATTCTTTTGTTGGCCACCACAATCTCACATTAAAATCACTTCCAGCTTTGAAGCCTTCCAATTAGCAAACATTTTCTAAAGCATAAAAATAACTTTTAAGCTACAATAGAGAGCTTGATAAAAAAATATTGAGTTATCCGAGCCAAACCTTGTGAAACGAGTTGACATTTTATTTTTATTTAGCAATGAAAAAGATAACGAAAACTTTTAGATACTCGTACTACATATACGTGACTCGAGCTTCTTTAACCTTATGCTTGATCAGTCGCCCAAAGTCCAAAGTCTTCGGCTTAGCGGAAGAAATAGTTAATTAAATTCACTCTCGAGCAATTAGCTAGAGATAAGAACAAACGGCCTGTGGGTAGCTGGCTCTTAAAATTTATCAAGCTTAGGAAGCATCTGTAGT